TAAGTGCCTCCAGAGTATTACAGTTCCCTTTACAGACCTGTTGTTCATCTGAAAATTGATCCACAGAGAGGAGTTAAGTTCCATCCCTGAAGGGTGACTAAGGGCCTTAGCCTTGGTCTCTGACCAGTAAACCCAGTCTTCTTGTCATTGAGAACTTTGATCCACATTTTTTTTCTCCCACTCTATCCAGGACCATTTAATATGATCCTTTTCAGAGCCGTCAGTAGCTGAGCATCATCTAGTTCTTCTGGTCTCTGGCGTGTGGAACTGAAGCTCATGTGGACCACTGATGAACTGTTTCCATACACTTCAAAATTTGATGAACTCTCTTTTGCTCCAGATGGGAAGGGGTCAATAGTTGCAACATTGGTTGCTGCTCATAAGCTCTGAAGCCCTAGGGAGTTACGAAAACTTGTCTCATAGCAAAGCCTCATCCAAAACGTTGGAAATTTGAGGGTGGAACTCAGATTATCATGTACACTTAGCTTCCAGAAGAAGGTAATGTGGAGTCAAGGGTTAAAAAATTCTGACTGTTGGTAGACAAAAGACAGCCCTGGCTTCCCTCCGCCAGGGTAGAAGACTGATGAATCTTCCTTGCTCTCTGTTTCCCCTGGAGCTACTGTCATATTTCCTATAAGAACAACTTGAGACAATATTGGTACCTCACAAGACAACAGGAAATGACTGTTTCATAGAAAACATAAAACATTTTTTTACATCCCTTTATAAATGGGTGACATCGGGACATTTAACTGGGCTCAGGTGGAACCTATAAATAAACCAATAGAAAGAACCAGAAGATACTAGGTGGTTTCAAATCAGGAAAGCGGTGTGTGAGGGTTGTATCTTTTCACAATACCTACTTAGTCTGTAGGCTCAGTAAATAATCTGAGAATCTGGACTACATGCAGCATCAGGATTGGAGGAGATCTCAGAGGACACAAGCTCGCTTCCTGAAACTGAAGATGCACAGCAATTCCTTACTATAATGAAAGCAAAAGTCCTCACAACTGGCTCCGTAAGTGACATCATGACAAAGGGAGAAAATATGGAAGGATTTTGGTCAAGGGTTTCATTTTACTTGAGTCCATAGTCAAGGTCCATGGAAGCAGCAGTAAAAAGTCAAAAATCACAAGATGTATTGCATCAGGCACATCTGCTGCACAAGATCTACTGAAAGTGTTAAAAAGTGAAGATGTCGCTTTGGGGACTAAGGTGTCCCTGATCCAAGCCACGGTATTTCAAAAGCGTCATATGGGTGAGAAGGCTGGGATATACATAAAGAAGACTAGAGGAGAATTCATGTATGGGGTTGGAGAAGAATATTGGACAAGCCTCCGATTACCAGAAGAATGCACAAATCAGCCAGAATGTTTCTTAGAAGCGAGAAGAGGGAAGCTGCACTCCTGTGCTTTGGACTCGTGGGAGCAGTCCCTGAAGAAGGCCAGCCTGCTCAGGTAAGTCTAAATGAGGAAGGCCCTCAATGAGATGCACTGACTTTGACAATAGGCTCAAACATAGGACGACTGTGAGGATGGTGCCGTGTTCATTCTTCTGTACGCAGAACCACTCGGAGTCGGAACAGGATGGATGGCACACAATGCCAATATCACACAACTTCTGATCAAATTAACACATGAAACAAAATCCTCATGTTGATAATTAGGTGAAAAGAAAAAAAACCAATTAGATGAAATTATGTAAAAATAAAACAAACTGTACTAAAAGCATGAGATTATAGTTTGTGTTTCTTAAAAAAATCCTTAAGATACTTATGAATGCTTCTCTATCACAAAGATAAATATGTGCTTTTTGAAAGAGGACATTTGAAAGATAGAAAACAAATTAGTGGGAAGAAGACAGAGTCTGCCCAAGGCAAACACCACTGTAATATGCTTCTTTGGTGGAACTGAACTATAGAAGTCTATATTGTGTTTCTGCTTTAGGAATTCAGATGGGGAATACATTAAAACATTCACCGGTGAATTTACTCTATTTTCCAAGGGCTCCTTGGTTTCTCTCTCTCTCCACTATGATTTCTCAACGTCTTAAGTAGAAAACTAAATTTAGCAGTTACATTTTACCCAGGTGCTAGTCCAAAGGCAATTCCTTCAATTCAATTTGAGTTTAGAATAGCTATTTGGAGCTTGATGCTGTAGCACTGTTTCATTTCACGATGTCCTTGGCTAGCGCTGGATTTCCTGTTGCATACTAGCTACTGCTAAGTCACCCGGATGCCTACTGGCTCTCCACAGCACTAATAAGGGACGTA